AATTCCAGAAATCGAAGATTTTTGAACGGAAACCCATTACGAATAATACAGACGCGAGAGTGGAACTCATTGATCACTTATTTTAGGCTTTTTCAATTAATTGTGTTTTGTTTTTTGTATTCATGTTTGATTACAATTTTGCCCCAGATAGAAATGTTTGTTAGCAAACGCTAAATAAATGAATTCTGCAATTTTCATTATGATTGGATTTTTAGTTAAACTGAACTTTACATGTGGGGAAAATACCAAACGTTATTACCTTTGCCAAATCTGGTTTTGTTGGTTTAGTCAAATATGGATTTATACAGGGTGGACAAACGTAATAACTCACAATCGAATTAATACATACCTACCTAACACAACTAAAATTAAATTTCTGATCAAAGTGCCCAGTGGATGTATTATGTCGCCACATTATTCAGTGTTACCACTTTGATCAGAAATCGAAATTACGAAGAAAGAAATCAAAAGAAGTAACTTAAGAAGTTACTTTGAAAAACACCGGTGGAAAAAATTGTATCATAAGTCAAGTTCAAACAAAACATTTACCTGGTTAGAGTACAATATGCTTCGTCATTTAGGAAAAGTGCCGCAATAATATTGTGTTTGTGGATGAAATTTCGTTCGACCCGAATAAATTTAACGGCGCGGTTATTGTAGGTTACTGTGCAAACTTGTTCAACCTTTCTCTGTGTGGTGTGAATACAAATAAACGCGCGAGGGAGTCGTCAATCCCCATCTGGATTCATCTTTCTGCTCAAATTGGCTCTGCCCATTCGACTACATGTTGAACGACGATAAGAAATTTTTTTTACGATTCGAACTTAGTTATTGAAGCGATTGATTCGTTGTTCTGGCGTATATGAACATGCATGCACGTATAACAAACAGTCAGAAATGCAGACGGGAACTAATTTGTGTCTTCTATAGCACAATTGTGCTCCAGTTTACAATTGCATGAATCAATCGACGATTGTTCGGACTAACCGCATTTCGCACTGGACAATGTATGAAACACTCGCTAGCGTGTATTTCAACGTTCAACAAATTTCAGAGAAACTAAAAAAGTGGAAAACAACCGGAAATATCAGTTTTGATTTAAAATTATTATAACCCCTGTCAAACACCCTCAGAAGTACAAAAACTTAAGATACAGAAAAGGTTTTGTAAATAACATTAAAAAAGAAAAGTCGGTGAAGCAATATGTGTATGCAAAAACTATGTACAGGGTGTCTCAAGTTTTAGGGCCGGCGCATAAATAAATATTTTTAATTGATTAAAAAAAAATTTGTTAGTACAAACGATAGAGGATTATATAGATTCCAATTTGATGCTTTAATATTGTTCAAAATTTTTAGCATATGTCAGTGGGACCCTAAAAACCAAATTTGGATTTTTTTTAATTAATTGGAATCTTTTCTACAGATAAATTTCCTTGATTATTTCTAATGATAATTGTAAAATTAAATAATGTAAAAGTTGATAGATTCTGAGTAATTTACATTTTCATACTAGAAATTGGGATGATGTGTTGCTAATGCGTTGACAATAAAGCGAAGGCTTTACAATAGAGCCCAGGTATGTACGTCATAAATGTCATTGGGGATATTTTTTTTGTCAAGAAATTCTGATCACCAATAACCGCAAACCCCCCCCCCCCAAAAAAAAAATATTCCAAGTTTCAGATTTTTAATATTAAAATGTTAATTATTCAAAACCCATCAACTTTATCAATATTCTATTTTTACAAATACCAAAAAAAAAAACAAGAATTTTATCATGTAGAAAATAATCCAGTTTATTGATTTTTTTCTCCAAATTTAATTTTTAAGGTCTTATTGCTATACGCTAAAGATCTTGTTCCATATCAAAACATCAAATTAAAGTGTATGTAATCCTCTATCGTTTTTTTTTCATATTCAATTAAAAATATTTATTTTTGCGCCGGCCTTAAAACTTTTGATACACTGTATAATAACTAAACGATTTTTTTTTCTTCTAAATTAATAATACAAAATATAAAATAAAAAAAGTATTCAGTTAACGACTACAAAACAATACAGTCAATAATTTTGTATTTAGTCAATGTAAATAGTTTAACATTTTTTATTTGCTGAAATTTAATAATTGTAATGAGCTGATTCCTATTCTGCTTAACAATGAAAAATAAAAGTTTATAAATAAGAGTACAAAAAACCTTATTATTTAGTCAAAAATTAAACAATACTAATAAGACAAAAAAAAAACAAATTTATAAATCAAAATTTTAAAACAGGGAAAAAAGTACTGTATAAAAACTCAGTCTCAGAAACGATTAGAAAAATGAAATAGTATTTTGAAACTGATTTTACACTTTGTCAAAAGTTATAGTCTGACTGTAAACAATTTTCTCAAGTTGCTACATTTGCTTCTCCCTTTTGTACAAGTTCTGTTGATGAACCTTGGATAGCTACTAAAGCAACAAGAAATTAGACTGATCGCCTGGAGGCATAAGCAAAACAATATATAAGTCATAAAAAGTAACCGTGTAAGACATAAACCTAATTTCCATCGTGGAGAATAAAGCATCATCGCCGTCTCTCGTCTTTACGAGGCTGTAAAAGCTCGTTTTATAAAATTTTCGTAAAACCCATTTCGGCAATTTAAGAAAAAAGAAACGCTATCACATGACGCGTCAAATAGCTAATAAAAATGCGTTGATTATCGATTTGGGGCAGGTTTCGTGTGCGTGAACTTATTCAAATTGCAAAGTTTGCGACTTTATTATTTTACATCAAAGAGAGAATGAAAATTTGTATTGATTCGGTTCCGGTGAAAAGTATGTGTCGGCTTTATGTTTAATTCATGTCATGCTGATTGCTGCATTATATGGGTTTCAGAGATTAGAGAAGTAGAATAGGATCGTTACCTCATAATTGTCACAGATTATCGACTTGCTTTAATTAGAGCTGCCGCAACTATCAAAATAACTCTTCGGAAGTGGGCTTTGATCCGGTCGAAGAATTTATCAATTTATTTGAATTTGCATCGTGATAAATTCCTCGTACGCGGTTTGTGGTATGTGTTTAGTTAACGGTTTTAAGACATAAGCAAATTTAATAATTAATTTCTGGCGCGCTTACGTAACGAGCCATTGATTTATTCGACACGCTTCAATTAAAAACCACGCGATGTAAAGCATTCAATTAATATTCAACAGACTTCAGGAAGACCCTTGTTCGCATAACTACAACGTGTCATACGACCAAATCGTTTGATTTATAGCTCAAAGCGACTTTTTGCCCGTTCTTCAAACCCTGAAATCCATTGTGGAATTAATTACATAAACCAAGTCTGTTAATTAAATTCGATATAAATAATAGATTTAGATGTAGCGCTTGCGTACACTATATATGCCCTCAAGATAATAACAGTTCGACGCATCCTCTAATAGAACAACAACCAATCAAACTACTCCTTCCAACAACCGTATTACCTCGTTCAATTACCGAAACCGAACTGACGTTAAATTTTCATCTAAAATCAATCAAATTCACAAAAAATTTACCAAGCAAAAGCTTATTTAAAGAAACTAAGATTGAAAAGTTGTAAACTAGATTTGGAAGCCCCAGACTTTTTAAATAACTTTCGGACTTTTTACGCCGTGAAGCCAAAAATGACACAAAGCGAAATCAACAAAACATCAACATTGTTCCGATTTAATTAAAATGTTGAAATTATTTAGCCGTTTACGCCGCTCAACATTATTCATAGATACTAATAAACATAATTTCCATTATTACAAAATTGATTCATTTTGCTGACTAATTTTATACATCAGAAACTTTTTATTGTTAATACCATATTTTTTTTTCATACTTAGCGAGTATCCGAAAAAAAATAATTTTAACGGTTTTTTTTAAATTTGGCATCAAAGCTATGTTTAAAAGTTCGATTGTGAACGAATCATCGTATTGAAAGTTATTAATCTGTCATTTGACAGCTCGCCGGACGTAATAAAAATTGTGGTCCGTTCACAACACACTCATATCACCGCCAATTATGACGCCAAAAATAAACAATCAGAAATATATAAAACTGCTTCTACGTTTTTAACAAAATACAGAATGTCCGGAAAGTCGCGCACCTTCGTAACGCTGTATCATCGGGCGGTGCCCTAGACAACAAGAAGAATATTTAAAAAAATCTATCAATAAAAATTTTGAAGTTATGAGAGTTTAAATTTTGCACTTTGACTCTGTTTCATTTCTGCTGGAAAAATAATTTTCCAAGTTTTTTTGCTACAGGCTATTAGGAAAGGAAAAAAAGAAGAAAGAAGCTGTATTCCAAATTGTAATTCTGTTTAGTGTTATTTATGACTTTCCCTTTCCGGAAACCCTGTATCTTAAACTATTTACTAGTTATTTAGTGTACAAGTGTGTTATATTACAAGTAAGTCACAAAAGAAAAAGGTTTACTTAAAAGCTCGTAGAACGCGTCGAGTACTTTTTTAAAAGTAGTTTTACTTTTTTTCAAAGTACTAAAATTGTATTATTTTTACACAAGTTTCAATTTTTTTGTTACAATTTTATTTTTTTAGCTTATTTTTATTTTATGTTTAACTTTTATTATCTTTCTACCTTCAATTTTTTCAATATCAGAGCTTATACGATTTTTTTAATAAGTGGACAAAGCAGCAAGGTTCTGTTTGTATATTCAATAAATATATAAAAAGGATAATAGAAACCATATTTTCTTAAGTGCTTCTATTAACACCGCTAAACATCAAGTTTTGCGATATTTTTTTCATTTTGTCTACTACTTATTAATATTTTTTAGAAAGTATATTTTTTATCAAGTTTTAAATGCGTAGTTCTTCAAAATTCAACGAAAATTTCTAAAAACTTCTTGAACAAGAAAAACCTGATTCTACTTTTTCTACGTTTAGCTAAAAGTAATTTATGTAATGTTTTGTAATAAACAATTAAAAGTTTAAGATAGGAATGTTTGTTGTGTTCCAGGAAGACCGCGTGTTTGCCCCGGCGCCGGACGTGACGCGTCGAATGGGCTCTCCGAAGGTGGCGGGCAAGACCGAGCCCCCCGGCTCGCCGCCCTACTACCGGTCGACCTCCGCCACCAGCTCCAGCTCAAACTCTGCATCCTCGAGTGAGTACGAGAAGATTTGCACGTATTTCGGCCCCTGATTGATTTATTACGGACCCGACCGCCCTTATTATCCCAGCCCGAATCAATGGAATCGGCGTTTTATTGGCCGTCTGATATGCATCAACAGTAATTAGTGCACTGGAGGGCGCCATTAAAGGACGATGCCGGAATCATTGTCGTAATTTATAGCGTATTTAATTTATAGGGTAACGCGGAGAAGGTTTTTTTCGCTCGCAAATAATTTTCAATGCAATTTCCGAATAGACAATTTAATTATTCTTTGCTTAATTGTTTGCTGATTAATGCAGTGCACTAGCAAACATTCTGACGAATGCCTTATTAACATTTATTAGTTCGTTATAACGCGCCACCAATTAATTTTGAAAAAAAATTCTAACGAAACTAGACGAGTTTGGTAGTTTATGCATTGATCGGAAAGGTTTTGACCCAGAAACGGCTCGAGTGCTGCAATATATTTTAATTTTAGCTTTTTTCAGCATTAATTTAAATCGTGACGAAAAAAAGACATAAAAGAAATCAATTAGATTGAGTGTGCTTTTTAAAAAAGAACGTTGGAGCTTTTAAACGCTTGAGTATATTTATTGATACTACGAGTTTTTCACAAGTGAACTTTATTTAATCCCAAAGAAAAAAATAACATTGACTCTCAGACACGTGATATTAAAAAAAAATCGGTTAAACGTTTCCATAAAATATTTTATTGTTCCTCACAATTTAACAAAAGAATAAAAATTGAATTAAAAATCATAAAACTAGTGACGGCTTTTACTGTTTATCTTGCATTAAAACAATATGGTGCATTAACCAGTAAGCTGGAAATATTTCAAACACTCCTAATAAGCTACTATTTTAAATAAAATTTTATGTTTGAATATTCTAGCGCATTCGCCATTTTTAACTCTCAATCGGAGACGATAATAAATAAAGTAGCACTTAAACTTGTTTGAGTGTTTCGTTTATTAATAATTTTTGTATAATATCATTGTTTGAGARATTTTATTAAGTAGATGGGCTGAACAACAAGGACTGCTTGGAAATGTTATGCAAATGTTAATATCGTGTTTAATTTGATTAGTTGTCGCGACGCATCTCTTACAGATTTAATGCTTTGATATGTTGCAAGCACAAACAATATTAAACATATTTTATTTATTTTATTTTAAACAACTACCAGTTATTAATTTTTATATTTATTCATCGCTTAATTCTAAAAGGTTAAGTTAGAACTGACTACAGTTAATTTTGTAGTACTCACTACTCATTGGGTTTTCACATAAGTACTCAACTAATTGATTGTCTTGATCGTCGGCATTTAAGTGCGAAATTGCAGAAAAAATTATTTATTAAAATTAATTACAACTGAATTGACAAGGGCAAAATCTGTTTCAATCTAAAGAAAATTCTATTTTCCATTTTTATTGCAACTATTCAAAAATGATTTAAAATGTACATATAAAAATAAAAGGCAATTAAAACCAGAGTACAATAAGTAAGGACAATGTGTAGAAAAAAAAATTAAAATAAATGAAAAAAATAATAAATATCTAAAAAGAAACACAGCAGGAAAACAAGTAAATATTAAAAATTTGCCAATAATTGATATTTTACAGAAATAAGTAAACGTAAAGTTTAGGTATAAGTACAGGGTGTCCCACGAGTAATAATGAGCGTGAAATTTTTTTTGAAGCATCCAACATTGCATTTCAAAGATAACGTGGATATTAAAATATTTAGTTTTAATAAGTTAAACATAGTGACCAAACAGCACTTCAACTTTAATTTATAAAATGAAACCAAATGAATTTGGTGAGAATTACTAAAATGTTGCCGAATGTTGAAGAATGTTTGAAAAACACTTCGCAGACTGCACGTGATATCCAAATAGACGGACTCCCTAAAATTAGAGTAAAGTCATTTTGACTAAAAGAAATTTGACAAAAATAAAAATACTATTACTTTGTTTAACTAATTAAACCAAAATATTTTAATATCCACGTTATCTATGATATGTAATGTTGGTTGTTTAAAAAAAAATTTCAGGCTCATTATTACTCGTTGGACACCCTGTATAAACACCTTAATTTTTTTTTAAGTATAAAAAAGAATAAACCTCATAAAATTACGGAAATTCTAAAAACGAAAAAAAATTATACTTAGTTATCGTAAACTGAAATATTGTAAATACAAGTAGATAACAAACATATTTGAAAATTAATATTTATTTATTTTTAAAAGTATCTTGATTTAATTATTTTTTTTATAAATAAATAAAAAAGTCGCCAAAATAAATATTATTAAAAATATTTCTAAAATGTTACAAGGACAATTCAAAAACTAAAACTAAAAACTAAACCGAGTTTATTTAATATTCACATTTCCATACATTTCGGTACCTAAAATATTAAAAATTATATTTTTATTATAAAACTTTACTTATTTATACAGTGTAAAAATATCACGATATGCTTTTATTTAGTTGCCTCTACTTTAATAGTTTCAACATGTTTCACATGCAACAAAGAAATTTTAAATGTGTTATTTGATTTACTCAAACAGAGGTGCTTAATAATATATACACGGAAATGTTACATGTCAGAAAACATTATTTACTTTTCATTTAAAAATGTTTTTCAATTTAAAAAATAGATTTTTATTCCGTTAAGGTTTAGAAGAAATTATATCTTGCCTATCCCGGCGCATCCACCATTTTCCAAAAAATTTAAGCGACTGCTGTAAGACATTTTGTTAATTTTAAATTCCGCTGTCGTATTGACACATCCCTTGCCACTTTTTCCTCGTAAGAGCAATTTTATTTCTTTCATTGTTGTTTACAACTTTTTGTAATTACGTAGCGAGCATTAAATTTCCCAGCATCTCACACTCCTCGTCCCAGCAGTGTCGCCAACTTGTTTTTAATTACATTGCAAAATTATGAATCGTCAGTGCAACCACGATCCCGGAACCAAGTCCCCGAGCAGTTCTTCGCCTCTCTACGTGCTTTTGCATAAATTCCTAAAAATAGAAACTTAAAACGTGTTGAAAGCTTTCAGAAATAATGGATTAAAGCGGAATGATAAGAAAATACTAGTTAACGGTAAAGACGTCGTTTATTACACCCAAAAAACTCAACTCCAATCTCGTTGTAATTAAAAATCCGACAATCAGTGTTAATATTCATTCCGATAATGGTCGGGTTAAAACCCGAAAACGGGTTTAATTAAATAAAAAATTGTGCTAATTGCCGACGAGGTAGTACGCAATGAACTTATGAATACTTCCAACACAGAATTTAATTACACAAGAGAGGAATTTCGCTTTTTTTTGGACACAATTAAATTGAAATTTTCACGACGCATCTTGGACCGATCGATCACGCCCCAATAGGCTAACACATAAATAATTAAAATTAACTGCTTTTTGGTAGCTTGCCAAGGCTTGTAGTGGCAGCACGTTGAGGAGATTTTTTGCAAGTTATGTATGAAGAGAATGCTGCATTTTTCAGATTTCAGGCCTCTGATGGCTTTATTATTTCATACGAAAAACACAAAATCAAATGTCTAGGTTTTACTGTATCTTAGTTTGTCGGAATGACAACTAGGCAACCCATTATACTTCATGCAATCGAAACGAAATTTACAGAAGCCAAAGTCTGTGTTAATTAAATTAAATATCAAACACTTGACAAAGCAAGATGTTGACAAGAAGTACAAAACCAGATTTGTAGATTGATTCACACATTTAGTAACGTTGTTAAAAGAGAAGTAGGTCACATTTGTTTTGCCTGTTTTAATTCCAGAATTGGATAAATCTTAAAGTGAAAAAGTTGTTTGTTAAAAAATAAATGATGTGAGCTGCTTATAAATCCATTTGAAGTTTTACGATCGCCGTAAAAGAAAGTGTAGAAAAATCGTAAAATATAAATAAAATGTTAGAAGGAATGATTGTGTAGGCGTGCATAAAATTAAAATAAAATAAGAATAAAAATTGTTAAAAACAAAAATACACGAAGAAAGCAAATTTTTTAAAGTTATTCTTAAAGTTAATAATAATAGAGATGACCTCGATATGTTTTGTACACTTTGGTAAAAAAAGTAAAACAATTAATTATTGAAATTTATGTCATAAACATTATTGCTAGTTCTTAAAATAGCTGCATATTTTTTTTTGTATAGAAATACATTTTTTGTAGTTTTTTCAACAAGCGAAACTACTAATATTACACTGCAATATTTAAATGCAATTTTAGTTTAGTGTTTCTCTTTTAATGCATTTAATATATTTGACATTAAAAAGCTTTTAAATTCTTCATTTGTTTGGTGAAATCAGAATTGTTAAAATACTTAAAACAAAACATTACAAAATTTGCACAAAACCCGTTTAATGTTTTAATTTTTTTATTTAACAAACTGAATTCGACTAGCCCATGTATTACAGAATTGAAACGTCTTAGTGACTATAAACAGCCTGAACTGAATGTTTCAATAACATTGCTGTGACACAAAGCTTTTGTAAGTAGTTTTTAGAAAAGTACAAGTGTGATAAGAACTTTGTAAGGTTTCTGCTTTGTTTTGTTTTTATTAAACAATTTCATTTATTTTTTTCACTCCTAGGTTTTTTCTCCACTTATCTTATTCCAGATTCCTTCCAGATAACGACTTTTCTAAAACTTTTCCCTCATTTAGCGTATTAACTAGTTGATCTTGTTAAAGTTTCATTTTAATAAAACTTCCCAACTCCATAAGTAATTTTTATTTAAAAAGTTCTTGTGTCAACTCGAATGCATGACGGGTCAGTTACGTCCTATATGTGCACCACAAAATGAATTTATCTACGATAGCTATTTGTATTGCGGTATAACGATGTTAGCAGTTAATTAGAGAAATTTCAGCACCGGCCGTAGCGAATCGAGTGCTTGCACAGCGTTGGTCGAATTAGTCGGTTTTGTTGAGCAAATTTCAAGTGTCGGTTATGATTTATTG